TGCATGTATGTATGTACGTATTTACGCATATACCTATGTACTTATGTACTTTTGTTGTACTTATGTACATGTACGTACGTACGTACGTACGTACGTACGTACGTACGTACGTACGTATGTATGTATGTATGTATGTATGTATGTATGTATATTTGTATGTTTGTATGTTTGTTTATATGTATGTATGTATGTATGTATGTATGTATGTATGTATGTATGTATGTATGTATCTGTATGGTATGGTATGGTATGGTATGGTATGGTATGGTATGGCATGGCATGGCATGGTATGGTATGGTATGGTATGGTATGGTATGGTATGGATGGATGTATGTATGTATGTATGTATGTACGTAGAATGTAGGTGTGTATGCATGTGTATGTGTCTGTGTATCTGTATGTGTTTGCACACACATCTTCATACGTTATATCGACCTCTTTTCTGAACATGGTCGCTTTTGATACATGTGGCCTTGTGCAGCTTGACAACTCACGCCGCGAGGCTTTGGCACCGCGCTGTGCGCAGCTGCTGGTCCCAGCAACATGGAACAGATTCAGGTCCCCCCAGAAAAACGTTTCATGGCTTCGTCGGGCTTGTGGTTCAGGTTCTGGGTTTAGGGTGCGGTTGTGGCCGGTGCGCGGCATTGAGACCTGTTTCAGGAATTGCATCATCTTAGCAAGGAGAGCTGGGGCTTTGGATTCAAACATCTCAAGCAGCGTTTCGGGTAAAGCTTGTTGGACGAACGCACTTGCAGAGAGTTCAGATCTCGCCACGACATGCCTTAAGGCCTTAAGGACCACATCAAAAGTGAAATGAGTGTATGACTCGCTGCCGATTCCAGTCCACCATATGGGATACTGGACCTGATACTTGTAAACGGCTATTCGAGTCTTTCTAAGGTAGGTTTCGACGAAAGCCTGGTTCTCCGATCCGCAACCCACAGAGAATCGGGATGCAGCCTTTCCAGCAGCTTTTTAGCCCCCTCCCCGAACTTGATAGCCCAGAGACCTGGAAATCTTCGCGTGAATGTGCGAGGAAGACTTCAAGGAAGAATGCTGCGAAGAGGCGCACCCTGTGCTTGGCTGTTTTCGGGATTTAGGTTGAGAGTTTTGCTTCAGGCCCTGAACTCCAAACATGTCTGACTGTCTGGGTCTCCAATCCCCGATCCCTGTAGTCCTACAACCTACTCCTGCGTAGCAGGGTTCTCCAGCGAGCGAGCCAGGGGGCATCGGTGGCCTCCTTGGTGGTTTTTTAAGACGCAAGAGTAGTCGTAAGGCCTGTCCGCGAGTGTCGGGTCGAGATATGGTCGGTGCATTCATGGTGTGCCTCCTTGCGTTCTTGTTTGCATGAAGTACCAGGTTCTTTCTTCATGGACAATAAAGCCCAACAAAGCATAGGCCCCACTCCCATAAAGGATATTACATTCTGGCAACACGATACTAGGCCCCAGATCCTGCACCCTCAAAATCCTGAAAGGGCCTTCAAACAGCCCGAAACTGTACCTAAGAGGCTCTCAAGTTTGGCGCCACCAGAGCAACCCTGGGGGCTGCCTTGGGCGACGGCGAGCGTCTCCTGGCCCTGGAGGGAGACACCGCTGCGGTGCCTCAGCGCAGGGTGTGAGGCCTTCGCAGGGTTCAAGAAGCCAAGCGTATACGATTGACCGATTGGTTGGTTTGATTGATTGATTGATGGGTTGAGTGAGTCAGTGAGCGAGTGGGTGGATGCTGGCGAGACGATGCAAACGCATCATTTCTGCTCGGGCGGCAAAGCCAGCTGATAATCGAGGTCGACTCTTGACGGCTGGAGTGTTTTGATCTTCGTTGCTGAGTGTCTGGTTTGAGGGTTGAGGCTCAGAGGTAGTATAGGGACCTTAATAGCCTTAAATTAGAATAGGGTTTTGCGGTGCATTATACTATGAGTATAAAAAGGAACCCCTAAAACAGCATAGGTAATTTTAAGGCCCCTATATTATGGGTTCAGGCCGCGTTAGCCGCATCGAAGCCACGACTGAAAGTGAGCGTGGCTGATGCTGAGGTGCGCGGCACGGCTGCGGTGGCGGTCACCGCGATGCTGGGCTTTAATAAGGTGAAGCCTCAGAAGGGGCCCTGCAGCCTCAAGCTTTAAACACCTACAGGCTTTGAAATTTAACCACTTGACCCCTTGACCCAGGCGCATTACCAAAGTTCAATCGTTACTACCTTGCACTCCTGCATGAGGAGATTTAAATGCCTCTTTGTTGCGTACCAGCTGTTTAGAAGGTTTTTAACAATAAACATACTATAGGGGGAAAACCTAAACCCTAAACCCTAAACCCTAAACCCTAAACCCTAAACCATACTATAGGGGGGAAAATTTTTTTCCCCCTATAATATGTTTAGTATGGTGGAAAAGGCACGTCAATGCCCGAGTTCAGGCGGTGCATCGGATGCAGGGGTTTTGGGAGTACGGAATCTCGTAAAGCTCTATTCGCCATGCCGGCCACATGAGCCCTTCTTTGAGAATAGTACAAACGATAGACAATCCCATATCCTAAAGCTCAAAATACTACCAACAATCCAACATCCTGGAAAGCCTTAAACCCAAAAGCTGAGGATGCTTTGCACCCTAAACCCTAAACTCTAAACCCTAAACCTTAAACCCAAAAGCTGAGGATGCTTTGCAGGCGCCTTTGGAAGCCGGGGCAACCTCCCCCGAGCTACCGTCGACGCGAGGCGCTGAGGTCCGACTCGGAGCCGCGACCTGCGCTCCCGTCGCCCCTGCTCCTTGCACGACTTAGGCTTTAGGGTTTAGGGTTTAGGGGTTTGGGTTTAGGGTTCTATTTGAGGGCTGGCTCACGATGTAGGGGTGGGAGAGGTTTTGGGGTTGCGGGGCTGAGTTGGAAGCGGATTTGGGGCTCCAGGTCTTCGGTGGGTTCTCAGGGCGTCTGGTCGGGGTGATAGATTGAGTTTGCGCAGTGTAGGGTTCGGAAAGGCTCATCATGCCGGGCTTGGGCCTGCGGTATTTCAGTCTCGTAGATTGAACATAGGATCGAACGCCAACCCCTGCCCAACGCAACCTGTAGTTGAGAAGCCCGCAACCCCTGAGACGGGAACCCTTGAGACGATTGATCAGGCTTGACAGCTCGACCTTGGGTTGTTTTGCATAGAATTATGAAAGTCTTTTGGCTACAACAGGGGGTTCAGCATTACCAGTATAAATATACCATAGAATGTTTCACACCCCACAGAACTCAGAGCATGTAATTGTGTCTCGCTGCCGTCTTCCATGAACCTGAGCTCTTCGGAAGTTTCTGGCAGCACAGGCAGCCGCAGCATGTTCACATCATGAAGCCCCAACTTAACCCGAAACCTCAAATCAACCTCACCACTCAAGGCTGTGCCGGGTAATTTAGGTATTCCAGCCTGGGGCAGGGAGGCCCGATGCCCTGAATGGATGGATAAGTTCAGGGCTGGTACCGGGTCGCTGCTGAGGTTTTATCAAAAGTGCCCTGATAGAAATTTGCTGTTGGCCGAAATTTCAACTATCACCATTGTTGGTAGTTCTGCAACAAACCAGACCCCAAACCCTGAAACCCTAGAGCCCAGAACCCCCAACCCTCACCCTCAACCAAGTGAGGTTTGCCAGCGCAGAGAAGGCGGCCCAACTGATTCCCTGGAGCTTGGGGAAGCCAAGAGTCCGACGCGACGATGGAGCTCAGAACTGCCCTGGCAGCCCCCCACGCCAGAAGGAGGACTCGAGTTTGCCGAAATTTCCCACAAAACCAACTGTGGCAGAGGATTTCGACCATCTTTTTTTTGTACGTAGGTTGGTTCCGATCTCTCCAGGGTTCGACTCTAAGATCTGGATTGCCAGACCCGAAGCCCTGGAGGGCCTCGCCCATATGCTCACGGATGCTGCCAAACTGCTAATCCCTGATATGCTGACTGGGAAGCCAATCGTCCGTGGGGAGTTCTGAGTAAACAAGAAGCCTACGTAGTTACAGATGCTACTCCTTGGGTTCCTGAGCATACTTATAGACCAACATATACCCCCCAAGCCCCTCGTGTGATTATTAAGGCTCCTATATCTTATGCTGGGAAGCTCGCCCTGAAAATCCAGCAGGTCTCGGGTTTTGGAACCAGGGGTTTAGACAGGCTCTGGGGTTCATAAGGGTGTAGGGCTTCGTGCTGTGGAATCGTTGATCGGGAGTGGACTATCTATGGCACGGCTGGAAAATCTAAGCGCTTCTGTCCGAAGTCCACCGAAAAACCTGCAACCGAAGGAAGAGCAAACACTAAATGAATCAATCAGAGATATCAGCACGCGAACATCTACATCCTCGCTAACGTCGAAATCATCATCATGATCATCATCATTCTCATCATCGTCGTCCGCGCCATCGTCGTCCTCCTCCTCATCTTCATCATCGTCATCGTCATCATCATCGCCAGCATCAGCAACAACGCTTGTACAGTTATCACTGAACTTATTTATTGGATCATCAGAACGGCCATCACCGACGTGATCGCCAGCAGCAACGCCAACGTCATTGCCATCGTCGCTATCGCCATGTCCATGATCCTGATGTCTATCTTGCTTGTCTGCACACCATCCTCGACCTCTTCATTGTCAGCATGATCATCGTCACCATCATGATCACAGCACAGTCATGGTCATCATTGCAGGCCTCACCATCCGCGCGCCCTTGCATTGTCCCTGCTGTATTTAGAATCACGTTCTTCATCAGTCACATGCTCCTCATCATTGTGACCACCATCACCATCAACAACAACGGCTGTACAAGTAGAATAATAATGACAAGCAGGATTATGATAATCCCCCTTCATCACCATCGTGAGGTTCATCATCAACATAATTACAATGTCGTCGTCATCATCAACATCAGCATCATCGTAACCATCACCATCATCATCACCTGCTGCCCCGTCGTCATCATGATATGCATCATCAAAAACGCACGGTCCATCCCATCGACCCAGTGGCAATCGTCAGCAGAGACGAGACTAAACTTGTTGGAGGAGAAGCCGACGAACTACGCGGCAGCCGAGAGAAACCTGGCGGCATCTGAAGTATCCTGTATATCCTGTATGGAACAAAACGCCATCTGAAAGAACGAACTGGGAGCGGAATGCACAGCGGAAACTGCGTGCTTGCGCATTGGACATTACTTAGATTCTTCAGCTTCGTAGGTGTTAGATACTGTTTATAAGCACGTGGGACTGCACCCACGCGCAAACAATCTAGTTCTGTTGGCTCCCGTCAAGACTCGTCACCGAAAGCTTCGTCACGATCAGTCCATGAAAGGTTTGAAGCAAGGAAAGTTCTGTTAGTGAAAGAGTTCTGCGCTTGTGCCACGGTTAAGCCAGTCCTCAGGCGTGTCCATGTAATGTAGCGGCTCCTACACATCTATGTACATTCTAGTGATTCTGGTACAGGATGTTTGTGCTCAGATTCTCAAGCGGGTAAGGTTTGCAAGAAGGCAAGCGGCAAGCTCATGCTAACTTTGAAAGACCCCTTCTCCCGAAAGTCTGCCCTATAATACGAAGGGAATTCCACCCACACTGCGTGCTCGACAAAATGCTGGGCTGGAGAACGACAACAAGACTGGTCTTTTTCTGCTGCGAGCTGCTGTTATGGGTTTGCTGTGTTTCCATGATGTTCCGGTGCAGTAGTTGGTTGCTCCTTCAGAGGCGTACCGTGGAGACAGCGGCCAAGACACTGGCCAGCTGTTGTCACTCACTGGTCTGCCATTTTTGTTCGTGGCCCTTCAGCCACAGTGTCGCAGGGGCTGGGTTGGTGTTGCTGCTGCTTTCCTCCCGTACATGAGGCTTGAAACTTTACATAAGTCTCAGAAAGATCTCTCTTAGCAATCATTCGACCCTACCGTGCTCGAGGCCACTATTCCTTCATCCACCACCATGTGGAGTCGGGGCGATGGTCATCAGTATCATCGATAACATCAACAGCTGCGTGAGCAGCTTCAACATCATCAAAACTTCCTCCATATCTGCTGCGATCATGGCAGCCAGCGCAGGCACGTTCATTTCTTCGAAGAAGCACATCACTCCGCCCTGCACTATCGTTGTCCCAAGTTCGAACTGCACAAACCTTCGTGCGAACATCAGTCGGTAATCCAAAGGCGACTTCGTAAATTTTGATTCCAAGTCAGTTGCTACACCCTGGCAGAAACGCCATGGAACGCTGGAACGTTCAACTCGACCGAACATAACGAAGTTCAAGACCGATTTGGGGGTTCCCAAAAATAGGGGACCCTAATATAGTACCCCAAATAGTAGGATCCTTTTTTATAAGGACCCCAAAATAAGGTACCCCCTATTCTCGGAAACCCCATTTGGTCTGCCCGAGCTGCCCAGGAAAAGCGGAGCCTCACCACGAACACCTTGGCGAGCCTTCGAGTGCGCTGCATGTCCTCCTCCCCTATGCTGCCGTGGACGCTTGGGCAACGGAGCTGAATGTTCGATTTTTCCCGCTCTGCTCGACTGGTCTTGTGCTGTCTTAGGCCCAGTAATAAGGTGAAGGTTTCGATTTGTGAGCCTTTGGTTGTGCGATGCGCTTGAGTGACCTATTCTGTCCTGTCGCTGGAACCCCATACTGGGGAACTTGGCAGCACGACAACTAGGTGACACGGTGGGGATTCATGTGGGAAGCTTCGTCTAGATTTTGCAGCATTTGCAGAGCAATCACTTGTTTTGAAGCTCAAGCCCGAATCTTTGCACCCATAAGGTCCACACCCCGACATGTGCTTAAGCATGAACAGCTTCAACCCCGAGCATGCCTAGAATGCTTCAGATCAGCTGGAGTTTCTAAATGTCCCTAAGCCCCTTTTATGGTAACGATGAAATTCAAGCGTTTACGGCGTATGCTGCGAGGATAGAAAACTTGAAAACACAAGGCCGGAAGTCGTGATCAACTAGTGTGCTTAGGGCGGAAGACGAAGCCAACTGGGTTCATTTTTTGGATTACCTTATACCTTATAGGATCCTAAACAAAAACCACAAAAAGGAAACACAATGGAGCCTATGGGTGTTGGGTTGGAGTTATGGTTTAGCTTCAGGGTTTCGGAGCCAGACACAAGGCAGGCATTAGGTTTCGGTCGTCTCGTGAAACGACGCGCCATCGACTGACCATATGTATCCTAAAGTCCTACACCGTGAACTCTACAGAGTCTAACCCTGCACCTTGACCCACGAGTTTTCATCTGCACTTTAACCTCTTAACACCGCAGTTCATCCAGCCCTAGTAAGCCACTTCCGAGCCCGCCGGTCAATCAGACGATTAGACGATTCTTGACTTTGTCGCTGCTAAGCCCCAACCCTCAGCCCGAAATCGCTGATCTTAGATAATGGAACTGTATGCACCGCAAGGCTTGAGGAGCAGGGTGAGTGATGTTAGATCTTGGGTCAAGCTTCCTGGCAAGAGAAGTCCGGCAGTCACCACAATCCTCACAACCAGCCCAAATCTCCACATCACAGAGAACAAGCTCCCAGCCATCGACACAGAGTTACGGAGCTGCGCGAAATCAGGCTTCCCTTCCCGGTATAGGTCAGGTATGGGATGGAAGCGGTGTTCATTCATGATTATAGACCCCTAAACCGCAAAAACCCTGAAACCCAAGCCCCTAAAATCCTAAACAGTAAGTGTCAGGTGACTACCGGGCTTCTGGCAGCTCTCGCCCGTAAGTTCAAGCTGAAGATCGACGTAGACACCTGCAGAATACCTTCTGCCCCCTTCCAGGTGAGACTGGGTCAAAGGCTTGCGCCTAGGAGCTAGGAGTTATGCAAGGCTTTAAGCATGATGTAAGGTGAAAACTATTGAAGGTTCTGGCCTAAAGGCTTCGTTGGGTATTTTGGCTGTCATTCCACGGCCTTGCATGTAAGACGCATCATTCGGCTCGGAATGCAGGGTGTCTCCAACGCGGAAAAACAGCTGAAGATGTTTGCTGACATTGATCTGACTGGCATTGGTTCTTTGATGATACTGATGATCTATGGTGGAACGAACGGTGCTCATGCCAGTAGTGTGAGGACGATGATCTTTTGTTGCTGGTGGTTGACGATGACGATGATGATCTCGCCACGCTTGCTGACTCTACTTTGTGATAATGTGCTTCCACTTTCTGACTCTCCGGAGCACAAGACGAGCGAAACTTTCAGACTAGCTCCGACCCTGGCAGGTGCGCGTATCCTTCACGGGCAGCGCCGGATACCTCGGCCTGGTGCTGCTGCAGCTGCAGTCGCATCTGTTCTTCTGGGATGAGCTTGCATCTGACAAAGCTAGCGCAGATGCTTCGCAAGGAGACATCCGCTGCTCAAAAAGCTTTCGAGTCCTGACTGGTCAGTCCTTGCATGGATTTCGAACTACTACAGCAATAATGCATCATATGACTGCTATGCAGTGAAGCAAGTCATGCTTTTGTCGAACCCGGTTGATGAAGAGCCGGAGGGGTAGTAGTATTCAGGCTTCATTACTACACACCGCATGGTGCTTGAATCATTGAATCTTGAAGCCCCGGTGAGCTTCAGCCTTTGCCTTTACTTCTCAAGCTGTTTCCTTTTCTCATGTTGTCTGTGCCTTTGGACTTGAGTGAAGTCTTCGATAGACCGGGTGGACGAGCTGGCTCCTTGTCTTCAATCCTAGCTCTTGCAAAGTAATGCCCTGTCAGTCACGTTTCGGTGAAGTTGAGAAATTGATTGCCTGATCCCCTCCTCCCTGATTCAGCACTACTAGGCGTCCATAGTGTATAACGGTCGGCAAGGAGGTCACCCGTGCCACCCCATACCTAGCATATGAAGGCAGCGGAATCTCCAGAACCCAAGTCGGGCTATTCCTCAAAGACTTACACCAGGTGCCCCATGTATACCTTCGTGTACTTTCTGTGTTGGTAAGTCATTGCGTCATGTTCTGTTTACTCGTCGCCACAGCTTGAGGCCTCGC